AGGAGCTAAGCTCCGACTTGCCTCCTCTTGGTAGCGCTATATATAGCCCAGACCGGCCGGCCCGACTCGTCCCAGATCCCAGCCGCCGGAGCCCGGTTGGACGAGGGCGCTGAGGTGAGTGGGCACCCATGGGGTGGCGGAGCGTAGCGCTGCCCCCCGCCCCAGGAGGGAGGAGGGAAGCAGGGGAAACCCCAGTTGTGTTTCTCGTTTTGAGGTTGCTCTCCCCTTAATTGCAGGCAAATGTGCAATACCAAGATGTCCTCCCTTACGGATGCTTCTTCTGTCACCGCTTCGGAGCAAGAGGCGCTGGTCAGTAGCTCTGTTGGACGAGCGAATTTTTCATGCTTTTTTTGGTAGTTTTTATCTGCTGATTAGGTGCGTTTTGCTCAACGAGCGATGGTTAGGGAGGAGTCACGAAATCCGGTGAAGGTGGTCTCTCTTTGATCTTGTAATTGTGAAGCAAGTTTTTCTCATTCGTAGGCGAGAGTTGAGGGTGGTGGTTGATGTCTAGACTGTTTCCTAGAGACCTTTAACTGTCGTTTTGCTCTCTTTTAATAAAAACGATCTTATGGGCCGTTTTGTGGTGGAAATTGTTAGTAGTTCATAACTGAAGAGTTGTAGAAGATCTCTGTAGTGCAAAATGTATACTGAAATCTTGTCATTACAACTGAAGGTTTTCGATTTTGGCGTTTTCATGTTCTCTGTTGGAATTTATAAGGAAATTCTAATAAGAGTGAGTCTTCGCTTGAGTTGATGGTTTTGCATATCCGGGCTTTCCATGATACGGTGACACTTCTGCTGTCCTGGCTTGCTACCTAAGGTTTCCTGAGCGTGGACACCTGAGATGGGAGTTAGAAACGTGTTCAGCTGGATTACTTCCTGTAGAAGGATAAAACCTAAAGGGGTAGACTGATAGCAGAACTTCAGAAAAGTGAAGTAACCTAGCAACAGACTGTTCCAAGTTGATTTTTTTTTCCCGTGTGTTTCCCTTTCTTCTTTTTTTTAAGTCATCATAATATGCTGCTACAGTCTGCTGTCCGATCTGTGTGCAGAAGAACTTCATATCTGCAGGACTCGGGGAGAGAGGGTGGGGAAGTAAAAGGACCTGAATCCGTGGGCGTAGTTGAGGATTCAGAGATATGAAACTGTGCTTTGCCTTCCTGTGCTGAGCTGTCATTAGTAGTTTAATTAAGGTTACAGTTTGCTTCCCTTCTGAAACTGTACTATATGCTGCATGCTTTAAGGAATTCAGCACTTAGGAAGGGGTGAATAGACGTTTGCTTCCCTTCTGAAACTGTACTATATGCCGCATGCTTTAAGGAATTCAACACTTAGGAAGGGGTGAATAGATGTCTAACGCTGTCCACAAGCTTGTTTATTGGTTTCATTATGTGTGATTCTTGCAACTAATATTTTGTTAATGCACTAAAACTTCACGTTAGTTCTAGAAGATAACTTGAAATGGAATGTTAGGAAAGTTCCCTTCCCTTATGCATTTATGCCTTGCTTCTTGGTATTCTCATTTTCTCTATAAGATGTTGTTTTTTCGAAATACGGTTTTCTTATTTTGAGGAGTATGTTAGGGTATATAAACAATAGACTGTTAGGCTGTTGTTAAAGTTACAGTACTAGAATCTACTGCACTGGGAACCATCAGTGGCTCCACAGGCATTTTCTTTGCAGTTGTGGCAGTCTCTGCAGCTTGTTCTCGTTTCCTGCACTGGAACTGGCACAGCTATTTGTGGAACAGTGCAGTGAATGGCATCAGGACACTGCTCTGGCCAGACAAAATAAAAGGGAGGCAAGAAACAATTTCCCCTCTGCTCCTCCTCCCGCCTCGAAATTATCGTAGACTGGCTGCAGATATAACTCTGTGGGCACAGTGGGTAAGCGGCTGTTGCGGAGGTAGGAGTGATTGAAATATGGTAGAAAGGACAGGGTGTACTTATCCCAGCTAAGAAGGTAAAGCAGCCCAGCTGGCAAAGGCAAAGCTGTAGCTCCAGAAACTGTCCCAGGAAGAGACTGGGGAAGCGGTGGACTAACGTTTTTCATTGTGACTTGCATTCTGAGCCGGACAGACAGTCACTAAGGTCCGTTTGCCTTTCTCACTCCCCTTTGGGAATCACTTTGATGACTAAAAGAGCGAAGCTGAGTTCCCCAGGACCCAGCTCTGTACTCGGAACTACCATATGAATCCTGTGGCTCAGATCGAGGAATCTGTATGTACCCATAAAAGGTCGGGGTTTGCGCTAAGGTCTGCAGTGTATGAGCAGTTTAGTATGATTTGATTCCTGTTATTTCGACTTTGCAAAGTAAAAAAAAACCAAACAAATTTGGATGTGGATAGATTTTAATGTAGTTGTTTGTATGTCAGATTAATACAGAAGGAGAAGGTCAACCTGTATAAATAGCTTTTCCTTTGGTGAATAGTTGGTGCATCCTGTTTTTCTTCTTCCTCACACAGGTTAAACCAAAGCCACTATTATTGAGGTTGTTAAAGTTAGCTGGTGCAGAAAAGGACACTTTTACTATGAAGGAGGTGAGAACTTTTAATCACTGAAGTGAATACAGATAATTGTTCTTTTGTTTTGGGTGAATGAGGGGCAGTGTAGTTCACAGCTTCTCTAGAAGACAGCAAGACAAGGTATTGTTTTTATTCTCCCACTGGCTTGTTAGGTGGTGTTTAGCAAGCTTCTCAAAATCTGAAAAAAGCATCTGGTAGTCAGTAGAATAGCAAAGTATTTGAGGAATGGTAGATGTAAATCAGAGCTCAAAGCAAGAAGAGCAAGTCTCAATGTATATAATGTGTTTTGTCTTGCACTTAAACTTGAGACAGCAAGTATTTAATGTCTTTATGTTATTTATTTTACAGGTAATATTCTATCTTGGACAATATATTATGTCTAAACAATTATATGATGAAAAACAGCAACATATTGTACACTGTGCAAATGATCTCCTGGGGGATTTATTTGGAGTAACAAGCTTTTCAGTAAAAGAACACAGGTAAAATGGGATTCTTTTCTGAGAGTCTGGTTGTGAAATAATGGAGGACATAACACATATGGCCTTTCTTAACTCTGCTTCTTCAAAGATGGTAAGCTCTCTTCTGTCGTTACGTGCAGCTAACTTGAAACATCTCTTTCTTTATTTCCATCTAAGGAGACTATATTCAATGATTTCCAGAAATCTGATAGCAATCAATCAACAAGGTAAGCTAGTTTGGGAGGCCCTTTGGTTCTGGGAAATAGTAGGAGAATTACTGCATCTTGCATGTAGTGATCAGATAACATTGATCTCTCCATAATTAGCTATTTGGCTTTACACACTAGTAGTGAATCTTTACACACAAGTAGTGAATCAAAGAAAACACTATTTCTTCTGGGGAATGAAAAAAACCCACAATATTTGGGTAATTTTGTTGGACTAGAACCAAAACAAGCACAATCAGAGCAGAATGCAAAGAGGACTAAAATGAAAAAAAATAGTTGTTTGCTTGTATTTCTTCCAGATAAAGCCCTTGACAACGTAAAAAGCTTTAATATGAAAAAACAGCTTCTTGAACTTGTGCCAGCAATGAAGTCAGGGCAAATGCTTTTTATTCGTTCCGGTAGTGCTCTGTTTTAATTTTCAAAGCTGAATATGGAGTACATTTAGAACAGCTATACAGGGTACTGTCTTAAAATGTCTGTATACTTGAAGAAGCAGCTTTGTGGTAACTTTGTGGATAACCACTCCATAGAGAATTGTTACATACAGTCATCTTTCCTGCAGTATAAAAATGCACAGTATAGCTGTAGTTTTGGGCTAATACAAGTGAACCAGCAGTTAAACAGTGGAAGCCGTTTCGTAAATGGGCTTCTAAATCCATGTTAAGACACCCTTTGTTTCTAATTCTTCCTAAAGGCAAGTGTTCATCTGCTGGAGCTGGGAGACATGCTCTCTTCATTATCCCTTATTGTTATGCCTGCAAAGTTAAATGACCTCTCAAATTCTATTCTTGAAAGATAATTTATTATTTCATGGTCTGTCTGGTAGTAAGCATATGTGATTACCAACAATTAATTGTTCTTCTGTTTAATGTCTTTTTAGTTCAGTGTTCCCATAAGGTGATAGCCAGGAAAATATACTTTGGAGAGGAAGAATTGTAAAATATTTCCTGCCTATGTTCTTTCATATCTGCAGAATCGCAGCTAATGCACAACCTTCAATTGAACACATTTGTAATAAAATTCTGAGCTGCATCACAGTTGGGATTTCTTCTTTTTCCCCACTTTCCCACTCAGTAATTTACAGGGAAAGTGCTGTACACATGTGAAAAGCAGAAGAACAGGGTTTTATTTTCCGTTCTTGGAAAATGTCTGGATTTTTAAGTTCAGTTTAGAATTTATGTTGTAAATGCTGTGTGCAGTTAACTTCTCTCACTTGCTTTTATTCTAAATTTTTTGAGCCTGAAACTGACTTTTTTAGCTATGCAGTATTACTGGTTTTTTGTTTGGTTTGGTTTCAGACTCTACACTTGCTGACACACCTGAGGATGCTGCCAGATTTCAGCTTGAAGAAGAAAATGTTAAGGTGATTTTTTTTTTTTTTTAATAAACTGTTCAGAGTTGTAAATTCTGTTTAGTTTTGTATGATAATGTCAACAGTTTAGACGCAATTAATTGATTCTAGCCTTTTAAGTCATGTTCATGCTCTGGCTTACTCAATATTTCTGTAAACCAGGAATCTATGCAAGAATTAGAAGAGAAGCAGACTTCATCAAATGTGACTTCCCGACCAGCAACATCTAGGAGGAGAACACACAGTGAATCTGGTATGTGCAGATCTATGGTGCAGAGCTTTCAGTACCATGGCCGCTTAGGGAAAAAGTACGTTCTGCTGCCTTACTTGACTTTGAAAGATGCTGACAAATACTATTCACGTTTCCCTGCTTATCTAAACCCAAATGTTCAGTCTGGAAAAAATACACAGTTCCTTGCATTGCTCCAGTGTCATGTTACAGTTTGGATCCCTAGAACTGTTTGTAAGATGATGGAATAACTTGTTCCACAGATCTGTTAAACTTGTGCACATTGGTAGGACTTAATCAGTTGTGTTATCTTCATGGTGAGAACACTTTTGTTTATAATAGACCAATGCAGTCAAATTCTTTTTGGTTTCCTCTGTAGGCAGCCACAACATTGTACTTTTTATTTGCTCTTTAAAACCAGTTTTCATTGGATTTCAGCTGGAAAATACTAAAGGCCTAGTAGTAACATGGGATGATTTTGGGATACATTTAGGTACCTGACCATTCCTTAAACACTTTTAATAAGCATCATATTTGTCTCCCCTTCACTGTAGTTATTCAGTGATCACTGGCAAATACGTTTTCAAAATGTGCAATGTACAAGCTGATCAGCGTAAATAACTGAACAGATTTCTCAGTGGAAGTGTTCTCTATAGTTCTGCCTAAATACTGCTCTGTGGAATTTCTTACATTAGTTTGTTCCATCGCTTCTGTGACCTCCTGACTCGGTGGTTGTAATTACCAGGCCAGTGATAACCACCTGTCCCTGCTCCTTTTTCTTCAGTCACTTGGGAACATTTTTCAGTTCCTCAGCGTTTGTGTATTATTTTTTGGTGTTCGTCGTGGGCTACTTCATGTTAGTCAGTTCAAAAACTGTGCTGCGTTGCTGAGCGGTTTGCACTAAATTAAAAGAACATTTTAATGTTGTAACAAAAACTGATGAAGGGATGGAAAGTCTCGGTTAAACATCATAACCTGTAATATTTAGGCATGACCCAGAGCACATAAGGTCCTGTGTTGTGCTTACTTATTGTAGGTTTGGTTATTAACTCATCTTTGCATCCATTTATTAGTTTGCTACAACCTTAAAGGTTCTTTTAATATAGTGTTTTTATATACACTTTTTTTCTAATTTATAGGAAATCTTCCTTTTAAACCACTATTCTTGTTAAATTGGGATGATAGCGGCTCCTTTGGAGCCGCTTGTATAGTGTATAGAAACCTTGTGGTGATACAATATCAGTACAGCATGGAGCCATGACCACTAAATGAGGACAACGATGGAGAGGAGCAACCCTTGGGCCTGGGGGCACCAAATTTGGTGGGGCTCTCAGGGCGGAAAAAGAAAAGAGAGGGGCTGAGCCAAGAAGCACCAAGGGAAAGTAAGAGAAGTCTCAAAGTATGTACAAGTGTTTTGTTCTCTTTTCTTTTGCAATGAAAGATTCAAGACTTGGAAGACTCGCGGATTGTCAGGGTGTTTTGCAAGGCAGCTGGGTGATAGAGGGTGGGTGCAGAAGGCACCTGTAGGGGGCAGCAGGCTCTTACTGAGGTCTGTTGAACCAGGTTGTCGAGCCTCTTGGGGAGTGTTCCCTGCGCTGCACTTCCATACTGACTTTGCAACGGCTTTAAAAATAAAATTATTTCTTGCCAAAAACACTGGAAGTCAGTGGAGCTGAATTTTGACTCCTCTACCTCAAAAATGCTGCCCCCTTACTCCTTATACTGATGTAGATGGTTGTTTCAAAACATGATATATTTAACAAGCATTGTCTTTTTGCCTTCGAACCAAGCATATTTAAGAAGCACAGCGTAAAGCAGTGCTTTCAGAGTTAAATTTTTGTGTTGTGTGCCTTGAAGATTTTCTTGCTAGCATATGGTGAAAGTCATAATGGTTTGTTACAAAAGTCCTGTTCAGTAAATACAATTACATACAGTGCAACTATTAACTGTTAAATTCTTTGAGGTGTCTGAAACTTGAACCTGACCTTACCTTGCTTGGCATGAGGCCCTTTGTATGCGTGTGACCTGGGAGCTAGTTTGGTCTGTCTCCCTGCAAATTCTGGAACAGACTCGGAAGCCCTCCTAAAGTGCCTTTCTGTCTGCTGACTCTAGAGGGAGCTAGGGCAACTAAGATCCTAACTGTATTTCTTAAAATTGGGAGGGATTTAACGTGTCCTATGGGAAGTCGAGTAAAAATGCTTCAAAATTTGCAATTATTTAATTTCTTGCACGTGGAGACTGCTATTTACAAGCTGTACCGATTGGAGAAGTGGGGAAAGCCAGCCCCCAAAATACTGGTTCAGGAGCATTTCTCACATTTCATGTTTCTCAGTGTTACTGTGTCGTATTTAAAAAAGTTTTTGGTATCTTTGCTTTTTTCCCCGTAAGCTAATACTGAATAAATTTATTTTCCGTAAATTCCTATATAAGTAGGTAATATTTTAAACTTCTCTTAAGAATATTCAAAACTGTACATTGTGTAGATGTTTTTGGAGTAATAAAAATTCTTGAATGTATCCAGAAGAAAATTCTTCAGATGATCTGCATAGTGACAGAAGAAAACGACACAAATCAGACAGCATTTCGTTGACGTTTGACGAAAGTCTCTCATGGTGTGTAGTCAGTGGTCTGTGCCGTGAAAGAAGCAATAGCAGTGATTCAACAGATTCTCTTTCCATTCCTGTAAGTCAAAATACGTATTTTTGTGGTACAAATTTTGCAGATACCACGAGTGCAAGTGGGCATCTTAAAACGTCATATTCGTAGTTAGAAGCGGCAATGCCTTCAGTGGTGTCTTGAGGAAAGAGAAGAGGCTGAAAGAGGAATTGGTGTGTGGGTGGAGTGGGGTCATTAATAGATGTGCTGTCAAACCTGAAGTCAATGTTTTAAAATACTAACTTGGAATATTCTTTTAAAATAAAATACGATATTGAAAAGATGGCATGATATTGAAAAGATGACAGATATATTTTGTGTTTTGAAATAAGTATTAGAATGCTGAGAGAAGAAAAGCATTTACAGATGTTCCATAATCCAGTGCAGCTGCATAACTGTGCATAGCAGTGCCCTGATGATAAGCTGTATTAATTTTCTAAGCATTTACTTACTGGTTTTTAATTTTTATTGTTGTTCTAAACAAAGACTGAAGCAAACTATCTGTGGTTAGGTGAAATCATGATGAGCTAAACTAACAGTATTTCTAGTCACAGACTGTATTCCAAATTGACAGAACTAATACTGTATCTTCAGTAATGCTGTTTTATAATTTTTCAGCCACTGTCCCAAATTAAGATTAACAAAATTTATGAGAATAGAGAATTTAATGTCACATGGACAAAAGACAGCATCTTCTTTCACCTGTTCTTTTACTTTTTAGGAGAGCTTTTGTGAAACAGTAGCTGCAGTCTTTGAGCTGGCTGTAGGTTGACTACAGCCCCTTATTACAGAGATAACAGAAGGCCTTCAGATCTAGCTTTATTTTTACCTGCTTATAATTAATTTGTCTCATAAAAGTCAAAAAAGCTGGTCTCATTTCTTCCATAGCTAGTTGTTCAATTTTATCTTACAAGCTTTCTTAACAGACATGGTTATGGTTGCGGACGGGTGAGGTTGAATGTGCACTTTGTCTTTTTTTCAGGATCTTGATGCCAGTTCATTAAGTGAAAACTCTGATTGGTTTGACCACAGTTCCGTTTCAGACCAGTTCAGCGTAGAGTTTGAAGTTGAGTCTATTTATTCAGAAGATTATAGCCATAATGAAGAAGGACAGGAGCTCACAGATGAAGATGATGAGGTAAATTTTTGTTTGTTTTGTTTTGTTTTTTTCTGACTGGGGTGGACGAGGAGGGGAAAGAAACATCCAGGAATACTTCATGCTGAGATTCCACCAAGAAGTAGCTCTTCAGATTTATTTCAGGACTGCATGTGCCATGTCACAAACTGCACCCAGTCGTTCATTAAATGAAATTACATACCTGTGCAGTTGAGTCACTGTTATACACCCACCAGGCAGTAACTGGAACAGTACTGAGGCTTTCCACATGAAACAGGCTCTGAAACAGACTCCTGACACGCTGGGGAAGTCCAACTCTTAAACTTCACTCGCTAGCTGTCAGAGTTCATGGCAGCATGTGCACTTTGTCTCTATTTCTGCATTTTTAATTATGGAAGTATGTGTTGAGCATTGACACCACTTGTGGTACTGAACGAAAACTTTACCAGTAACTCTTTGCAAAAGGATATTTCTGAATCTTTTGCCTCCATGAATATAAACATTTCCTAGAGATGCTGAAACACAATTCTAGAATTTTTCATTAGGATGCAAGAGGACAGTAGAATTGTGATTACCATAATTTTCAAGACACTAGATGTCTGAAATTTCAGGGGTGAAGTGGGATTTTTTTTTTTTTTTTTGCTAATTTTCTGCTACTTCGAAGAGGTGTATCAGCTCATGGCAAGATTAGATAACTACCAGAGGCAGAGTTTGGCAGGGATATAAATGACTGATACTGGAGAGGCTGAATGGAACTGACTGTACTGATGGACCACGGGGTTATAGTGCTGCCAAGCTGAGCTAAGACGGTGGTTTGGAGGAAGAAAGCATTGAGGTGTCCCCCTGCCTCCAGTGTTGAGAACTGCAGAATGGTTGAGGTTGGAAGGGACCTCTGGAGGTCATCTTGTTCACACACACCCCCGCCTTCCGCCCCAAGCTCAAGTAGAGCTGATTGCCCAGGGCCATGTCCAGGTGACTTGTGGGTCACCCTCACAGTAAAAAAAATCATCTCCTGACGTTCAGACAGAACCTCCTGTGTTTTAATTTGTGCCATCTTGTCCTGTCACTGGACATCACTGAAGACACCACCTTCTTTACACTTTATTTATACATTTTATTTACACTTTATTTATACACATTGGTAAGACCCACCCTGAGCCTTCTCCAGGCTGAATGGTCCCACCTCTCAGCCGTTCCTCATGTGAGAGCTCCTCCAATCCTGTGATCATCTCAGTGGCCCTTCACTGGACTCTTTCCAGTAGCTCCATATCTCTCCTGCACTGGGGAACCCAGGGCTGGACAGAATGTTCCGGCCACTGAGCCAGAGGGGAGGGATCACTGTTCTGCTAGAAGGTGGGACCTCTTATCTGTTTAGTCTACAATTTTCTTCAAGCTGTGTGTTAAAAGTATGAACAGAATTCTTTTGCCTCAAAGCAGTCACCAGATTCTCCAGAGTGTTATCTGTTTAGTCTACAATTTTCTTCAAGCTATGTGTTAAAAATATGAACAGAATTCTTTTCCTTCAAAGCAGTCACCAGATTTTCCAGAGTTGCTTGCTGATACAAATGAATGTCTATGTGCTACTTACAATATTGATTAAAAGTCTCGTCAGAAAATCTGTCAGATTTTTAATTAAATGCAAAAAAACCCAGTTACCTCAATAATTGTTCTTGTTATTTAAACTAGGTATATCAGCTGACTATTTATCAGGATGAAGATAGTGATGCCGATTCATTTGATGAAGATCCAGAGATTTCTCTAGCTGTGAGTAAAAACTTGCCTGACAAAGCATCATAACTTGGGTGAACTGACAGAGTAGATCAAGAGGTGTAGATGAATTCTCTTGGTACCATTGAGGTTTTTTTAAGAAGCAGATCAGTTTTTTCTAGTATTCTTGATGATTTGAACTCTCATACTAATAAAAAAAAAAAGCTTCCTAATCCATTTAAAAAAAAACAACAAACCCACACAGAGTTATGGTTTTGCTGACTTAATGGAAGGAAATTATTTGGGGTCTAAATCTGGCTTTTTGCACAAAATGCAAAAAACCCCAAAATTAATAGCGTCACGTGTATTTAAAAATCTCTTCCTATAAATCGTAATATCTGATTTAATTGTCCAACCTAAATGAAGGAATCTGTAGCATACAGATGTGAAGGCAAAGCTGTTTTCAGAACAGTACTGTAAACTAAAAAGATTTTAGGCTTTTTCTAAGTTCAGTGAGACCAGTGTTGAAGTATGAGAAGAAATCCAGGGGTTTGACGCAGAGTACATAGACATGTGAAAAAAGCACATGCTGGAATTAAATGCGGTGTAGCTTTATATTTGCTTTTCGTAGTTGAACCTTGAATAAAGCTCTTGTCCAAAACTGAGGTGTTCTGTGGGGCTGGGGGACTTTACTGTGTGTGTAGAGCACAGGGCTGGCCACCAGCTAAAACCATAGCTGTTTATGTGGGAAAATAAGTCTGCATTATTTTTTAGGAATTAAATGGGCCTTTTAAGCTTTTGATAGTGTAGATGTTATTCTGGACTCAAGCAAAACGTGCGTCGAGTCTTCTAAATTAGTTCTGGGTTTTGTTTCTGTTCCTCCTATGGCACACGATATTTCTAAGAAGAGTCTTCTTAAAAATGAAGTGTATTTTTAATGAGATCGTGGCTTATTTTCAGCATAGGGTATGAAGTGACCCCTGAGACAGTGAGGCAGGTGTGGTTTTTTTTTTTTCCTTAAATGAAGTTTTCTACTCTAATACTGCTGTGTTAGAGTGCCCTCACCCGGCCATTTTGCACACCAACAGCTTCGCATCCCCCAAGTTAAATGTCCTTTCAGTCTTGAATCAAAGAGTCATTAAGGTTGGAAAACACCTCCAAGATCTCAAGCCCAACTGTCAGCCCAGCACCACCACGGCCACTAAACCATGTCCTGAAGTGCCACGTCTGCACTTTTTTTAAACACCTCCAGGGATAGTGACTTGTTGAAAATAGTGAGTGTGGTGACCATTTTATCAGAAGTTTTTCATGAGGTTTTCTGAAGACTTTTGTGGTCTGCTCTCTTCAGTTTTGCATAAGAAATAGAACAATAATGATTAATTATCTTTATTTCACAAATTGCTGTGAAAAGAAAGAAAATCAGTATTTTTAAAATTAAGACTTCTAATCTAGAGCTGTAAAATGGGGCTGAGCACTAAATGGAGTTTTTAAATTATAAACAGTTTGGTAGCCCGGGATAACTACTATTTAGGCAGTAATAAATTGTTTATAATCTCTGAATACTTCGGTTGTGAGCATTCCAAGTAGCTTAAACTGTTCCAACCTTTAATTCATTAAAGGATTATTGGAAGTGTCCCAAATGTAGTGAAATGAATCCTCCGCTTCCGCGACATTGCCACCGATGCTGGGCCCTTCGTGAGGACTGGCTTCCAGATGAAAAGGGTGATAAATTGCAAAAGGCCAAATTAGAAAGTTCTGTCCCTCTAGAGGCTGAAGAAGGTTTTGATGTTCCTGACTGCAAGAAAGTGAAAACGACTGAAGATAAAGAACCAGCTGCGGAGGAGAGTGAGGACAAAGCGGTACAAATTTCCGAATCCCAGGAAAGTGAAGATTATTCCCAGCCATCAACATCAAGCAGCATGTTCTGTAGCAGTCAAGAGGACTACAGGGAGCCTGAGAAGAGGGAAATGCAGGACAAAGAGGAAAGCCCGGAATCCAGCCTACCTGTTATCAGCATAGAGCCCTGTGTCATATGTCAGAGCAGGCCTAAAAACGGCTGCATAGTACATGGCAAAACGGGACACCTCATGTCGTGTTTTACGTGTGCAAGAAAGCTTAAAAAGAGGAACAAGCCCTGTCCGGTGTGCAGACAGCCCATACAAATGATTGTACTAACTTATTTTAGTTAGATGGATATTGACTGAAAAGCGGCTAAAAGAGCTTCATAAACTGGTTAAGAGAGTAAGAAACTATTTTTGTATGCTTATTGGAAAATTTAATATTTTGGGGATCTTTAATATGGTGGGGAAAGTAAGTGCTAAAATAAATGCACTGGAGTTGTTAAGAGGTTAGCCCTAATATTCATAAATCCACTTGAAGATTTAAAATCCCTCTCAATAGAAATTACGAATTCCTGTTAACTGCCCATCTCTCCAGGTGTTTTATGTTCTATAGAAGTTAGTGACATTTGTTTTACTGGATTAAATACACCCATTATAAGCCCAAATTCAACAACTATCAGAGGAGAGACATGTTGAAGAGTTTGTTGAGTTCCTCCTCTTAAGAGCATGGAAGATTCTTCAGATTCCAGTATCTGTTGCCTGGTGAAGATACAGGCTCAATTAGAACCGGCTGAATAAGTCAATAAAATAAATAAATTGAATCTTGTCTCCCTCATTCCCAAACCTTCAGTTCCTCCAAGTAACCAAATTACAGGCGAGATCTTACCAGGAAGTGGGGGGAGATACAACAGAAAATAATTTAAGCTTTTGGAAATAGAAAAGGGTGTTGTGTCTTTTACCTGCATAGCATGCGCTGTAAACTTCAGGGCTGTGCGTGTCCCAAGAAGTCATTGATCCAAGTTCAGTCTTGCAGTCGTCTCTTCAGCATCCTGAGAAATTGACTTTTAAAATGCTTTGTGGAGTTGGAGGTCTGTACTATCTTACTATTTTAGCAGCGTGAGAAAAGACTTGAACACGCAAGGTAAATGAAGGAGATACTACATAATGTCAAGTCAGGCAATATTAAGGGACTATCTGTTCTTTTTCTGCACTTCTTTTTGGTTCAGTATAGCACGTGGCTTGATCACTCCATTGGCTTGATTAAAAATAGAAAAAAAACAGTTCACCTTTATCTGCAGAAACAAGTAAGTGTTTTAGTTCTAGTTCACACAGACATTCTTGAAATTCAACAGTCTTTCCAGCTCAGATTGTATTCTTATATGTGTCACAAGAATTGTGAAATTCCATTGCAAGGTGTTTGGCCAACTCAAAATTGGTCTCATTGGACCTGTCCTTTACTGCATTTAGCTCATCTCCGCACTGTACTTTGACAAAAACTTTTGTCAATCTTACCAGTTCCTTTTTTAAGGAGTCTACTAACTTGCTCAGTTCAGTGGTGTGTTCAGAGTGGGTAGTGTGAGCATGTTTTTGTAAGCTCTGGTGTCTTCAGGATATAGTTACGTTTCTCATCTGAGCTGTTTTTCAGATGGAAAATCTCTGTCCCAATGAGTTGTATTTACTCCTTTGGAAAACTAGATTGCAAGAGTAATCATATGGGTTTAGCACCTTTTAATTTTACAGGTGGTTGCTGATCATCTGCCCAATAGAGAACAGCAAAGAAGTAGTCAGGGGAGCGCCGGGAGTAGAGCTTAATGTAGCCTCCCCGCAGGAACCGTGCTGCGTTACCAGCCTGCAGGCCAAGCTGAAACGGCTTCTGTAACGCCACTGGTAGGGAACTGTTGCTGCCCGTGTGCTGGCACCACGACTTTGACAGCTATAATTAATTTTCATGTCAGAGCTGAAATATTTCCTCTAGGATAAAGTGTCGGTAATCCAGGGCTACAACGGCCTGCAAGACAAGGAAGTACCCAGGGAAAGAATGTAAAGCGGTGCAGGAGAGACTCGGTAACCCCGAGGTTGTTACGTGCCTGCTAAGAAATGCCTTCGTAAGTAGAGACTGAATTACTGAAGTGCTTTGTCCATATGCTCCAGCTAATTTTTGAAAAACACTACTAAAATTACTTAAATCTCTGAAGTTTTACCGTAATTCATTTTAAGTAAACAAAATGTAAACCCCAGTTGCATGTATTTCTTCAAATTCTTACTTGTCAATTTCTTGCCCCTTGCAATTTGTAAAGTGACAGCAAGTAACTGAGAAGTTTTGATCAGCAGAAACCTTCCATGGGCTTCATGGAATTTTATAATCCTTAAGCCCTAGAAAGACAAGTCCTTTGGGCAGATACCTAGATTTTTCAAGTAGGGATGCCTGCCTTAATTCACGCTTCTTTCTGTTTATGTTTCTTGATTTTTGAATCGCTAAAACTTCAGTGCAGTGAAGCTCTCAGAGCCGTTGCACCTGCAGGTCGGAACCAAGCGGTGGTCCTGTTGCGCTCTAAAATCTGCAGTGAGAATGAGCTCTGGGGGTGCAATTCAGGAGAGGCAGTGGCAGCATCGGGACTGCATTTAAAAACCTTTGTTACTTTGTCTCCCCTGTTTTAGATGTTTTTTTCAGTGGGATGCCTCCTCTACAGGCACTGTGCTGGCAGGCTGTGTAACTGCAGTTGTGAGGGAGCAGCTGTGCTTACCCAGTTCCTGCTGGGACAAATTGTCCCATCCGACTCTTGGCAAGCTCTTCCAATCAACCCCCTGAAGTGAGCTCCATTATTTTAAAAACCAAAATATTTCAGCTCTCAAAAAGGCACGTACAGTTAGATGATCCTTGCTGTTCGCAGTTGTTCAAGCTTGGGGATTTTTCTTCAAAACCAAATACATTTCCCAGTAACACTTTCAGCAAAAAATGAACTGAGAGCATACAGCATAATGAATTATCCCTTTTATGACTGAAAATGGTACTTCCCTGGCATTGTCTTCTGTTGTGGAGCGTAGCCCTGGAAATACCCACCACTCTATACAATGTTGAGGATAATTTTGGTTTCTGCATCCGTGGCCAAACTACTGTGTCAGAGTCAGTCTGTGTTTTGAATTACTTTTTCTGGCTTAATTTTGTTCTTAATAACTTCTAGTAAAAATTTAGGATTTTGTTTGGTTTATTTTTCCCCCCAAAGCATGTCTTACGGGTAAGGGTATGGTGAGCATTGGTGTCTATTCCAGTTCCTGCAGGTGATGCTAGCAGATAAGTGGGTGTCTGGGGTTTGGCGGGGGGTCAGGTGCTTCTGGGGCCCCAGGCCCAGGCAGCTCCTCACTCCCAAAGGCTGGGATCTCTGGGGTCATCCACGCTCCGTACATGGGGTGTGCGTGGTGACCAGCCTGGCGTTCGTCCCCCTGTTCTTGCTGGCCTGTAAACGTTCCTGGCCTTGGGTAGCTGCACAAAAATCAGCAAAATTTTAGTACAGAAGTGATGGTTGTTCTTACTTGGTGAGGTCTTTGAGATCCTTATTTAATATCGTACACATTTTAATCTTTAATTTATTGCAGTTTGTAAATATTCTTGTGCTTACAGTTAGTGTTTTGAGCTTTAATTTATTGAATAAGTCTATGGGTACTTGTGTAGATACATGACTATGCATAGATAGTAAATCACAGTCACAAGAAAAATATTTAAGAAAAATAATTAAGAAATTCAGCATTAAAATAAAGATAAATATTAATATTATATTGAGATGAAGAGGGGCATAGGAAGAGTTATGGGTTTTTTTTTCTTTTTTCCTTCCCTTAAAACAACTTCTATGTTAAACCTGAACAACATTTGTTAAATAGAGATGGAGGCTGGTGCAACATTAGTAGTGTAAAAATATTTTGAGGGCGTTTGTTTTACTTTGAAACGCTTTTGTGTCTGAGTACAGCCAAGAAGCTGACTGACAGCTTCGAAGTGCTGGTAACATCAGAGGTGAAGGAGGTGGTGCAGAGTTTCAAAGTCAATTTGCAGCGGGTTGTAATTGCTTTTGCCTTTGAACGCGGGACCAAGACCCTTGCAGGCTGAATGTTGCAGTACACAATTTTCAATAGTTGTCCAATTTGTTCCTTTGTGCGCTTTGGGTAGATGGTAGTTACTCTTTTTTCATAAGTACAATAAACCTGTTTTTTGATTAAATACAACTTTTTTCACTGTAGCTATTTATTAGCATTGAAAATCAACTCCTGAGTTGAGGTGCCAAGTGAAGTACTTGAGGCAGATGGCAAAATCACTTTGTTCTGATGTTTCTCAAAAAGACTGGAAGCATTGATTATTAAAACATCTGAGAACCTCTAATACTGATTCTTCACCTAAGATTTATTAGTTACGGAGTCTGCTGTGTTTGTCCTTTAAAACACTTGCAGAGCTGACACAGAAGCGGTCCTGTTGCTGATTGTATTGAACATTCACACTGCAGGGACGCATTTTGCTGAGCAGCCCTTGAATGTTGTTATAGAAGAAGCACACGCTGTGCTGTGTGGGGCTCTGGCTGCTGTTCAGTTGGCATGTTGGTTCAGAAGGGCGTAAAAGTGCTCCGAAATTTTAATGGATGAAAGGCGCGACATTTGTTTTGATGGCGTGGTACAATTTTTATCACTGAGTTCTGTTTGCTGTAAATTTGTTGTGTCACTGTCCGTGAAATGTCTGTCTGCGTGGGTATGAAGCCACAGGCAAGGTTTTTTGGGCAGATTTTTCCCCTTAAAGACTAATAGGAAGGAAAAACTATTCCTCATTCTTAAAGAAAGCGTCAACAAGAATAATTGTTCGAGCAAATTACATTCTTACAGAAGACAGAAAATTATTAGAAGCATAATGAAACTAAATAAACTGAACAGGATTAATAAAGGGGTGAAGAATTTTTCTTCCCCATCTTAATCTAAAGGTGCTGTTGTGTTGGGGCGGAACTTAAGAAGTAAGAGTTTATGATTTTAAAGCAGTTGATCTACTTGGCCTGTGAACTTGCCACGAGCCTGGAGGGGCAGCAGCTCTCCCAGGAGATGAAACATGATGTGCGATGCTTGGCCTAAAAGGGCCCGTGTGCTGTTGTGGCCCTTCCCTGTGGGAAAGGGTCTCAGACACACACAGCAGGGGGACCAGCAGCCGGGCAGCCCTCAGGCCTCGGCCAAGATTTCCAGCCGAGATTTCCAGCCGTGGGTGCTTATCATTGCGCCAGCAGGCGGGTGTGGGCCTGGAGTGGCCGCAGGGTAGCCCCTGCGCTTCACAGAGCACATCATGTAGCATGTTTGTAACCTCAACACACGGCCTCCGCTACATTGCCAAGTGTCTTGTCCTGCTCCCACCAGCCAGCGCTTTGCTGGAGCATCAGCTCTCCTGGCTGGCAAGGGCGTGTCTGTTCCAGGGGATCACCTGCCTGACCAGCTGGCTGAAATTAATCCAGACCCCAGTCAAAGTTGTGTTTTGAGTTACGTGTTGTTTAAAGATTGCACAAACAATGTAAAGAAAAAAAAACCACAAAAACCCCCCCAAAACAAAAAACCACCCACCCCGAAACCTGGGCTTAAGGTATCTTTTAGTAATGGACTGCACTTAGTGAACATGAATATGCTTTAACTATCTTGTGCTTTTTTTAATCTAGTACAGATGCACTGATCTCTTTGTAGCATGTGTGTATGTATGTATGTATGTGTATATATATATATATATATACAGTACATGTAAAATTTGTTGGTACTAGTTACAAAGATGTTGTCTCCTGTTTTGAGTAGATGTTGCTTTAACAGCCTGGTTTTGAAGGACAGTTCTTGGTTTTGAGTTAAATTCATGGCCGTCGAGGTGATGATTACATAATACCTAAAACACCAAATAGTTTTTTCCAAAAGCAGAGTGTTACCTTGTGTGATTATCCATAGCTGGAATGACTGTGAAACAGCCTGGTTTGTAGTGAATTTAAATACCTATGCAATTCTGCCACGACTCCTAGATGAAGATGTTCTCAAGAACTTGTCACGGTGCGTACCTTCTAGATACCCAGTGCACGTACCGCCACAGTCAGTAACCATTAAAATACAAATATCCACTCCAATCACACAGAGTGTAGATCCATTTACAAGAAGAATTATTGTGTGTATTGCATTTGTCTTTTGGTTTTCAGTTTTTCCTTTTCTGAGGAATCTAAATACAATGTTGCATTTAAAAGCTTTAAATAAAGAATTGTTTATATGCTCTTTGGTGCTTTTTTTCCCCCTCGTGTCAACAACTTGGCTGTCACTTGATTTTCATTAAAACTTCATTTCTGCCCTTGCTCAGCTGCTGGGCCACTGATTTCTCAGATTTCAGGCGTATGGAGGATTTTCATCTCAAGGGGTCTCTAGTTCTTCCTGCCCACTGACAGAATTGAAACCAAGTATCCAGTGGTGGGATTAGCAGATAATTATTTAATCTTCTAGCCTGGTAAACAAACGCACAGCAATTAAAGAGGGGGAGAAAAGGTAGAAAATTCTAAATGGATATGATGAAAACATGCAAAAAAAAGAGTGTCTTACACAGCCATCATTCCAAATCAGCAGTGTTAGTTCAATTTCTAAAGTGTATTTATTTACAGCCTCATTGCCTGCACAGAACCCAGCCAGCTGGCAGAGGAGTGACCCCATAGCCCAGCTGGTGAGGCTTGGTGTGACAGGCAGGAGAAAGGCCATGTGTTTTAAAAGGCATCAAAAGATTAACCGCATTCCT